AAGACCTTACATTGCTTCATAGTGAGCACAAATTATTGTTAAAAATGGGAAAAGTGCTAGTTAATGGAGTTTAGTTGATAGAATGTCAAATGTTGTGGTTAACTATGGTGTAATTCTTGGATTTGGTCTTCGGTCTCAATAGGTCTGTTGATAATGAGATCAATTTGATGTGTTTAAATTTAGTTCCTTTTAAAAAGTATTTGTAGCCTGAACTGTTGTAAGCATTGTGTAAGATGAGATAGTTTCCTTGAGACTTAATCTTGTTGCCATTTAAATCCATACTCCATTTTTAAGTATTTCCTTTTCTACTTTTTAGTAACTAATTTCCTAATCATAGTCTACAGTACTTTCTGTTCTGCATGGCCTAAGCTCAGTTCTACCTGGGATTCAGTCCTAGGATTGCTTTTAAATAAGTAGGATCACAAAATACAACTAAAGGTTATTCTGTTTTCTTTAAAAACAAACATGATTATTTAATAAATCTTGAAATTTGTTATTGTGCTTTGTTCTTATCCTACTTTCTTTTTGAGTTGGTTATATGTGACTATGGCTTTCTTAAGTGATCTCATTTGTCAAGTTCTTTTACATTATCTCGTTTGATCTTCATAGCAGCTCTGCCTGAGAGGTAATGTTAACTAGATAGATGAGGAAGCAGAGACTCAGAGCAATGTAAAGTACTTGCTCAAAAATATGATGAAGAAAGCAGTGCAGTAGGAATTTGAACCTGTTATTTCTAGACTTGAACAAATCACACTGTACTTGACTGTCTTTCTACCAAAGAATAGTATAAACTAGAACGTGTTTCACAATTAACCATGTGTGAGTAGTAGCAGGAAGGATTTTATTTCCTACCCAGTTTTTGCCTTTTTAGGGAAAAAAATTGACACCAACATCTGTGGGTGAGACTTATTCCATTCCATTTGGTTTGGATTTTATTCTTTTTTCCTCCCATAATTTATGCGTGGGTTGTTTGGGAAATCAGTGCCGTGTAGTCAAATAATTATGCATCTGTTCATTGTATCATTAGAACTGAACAAAATTCATTAGAACTTGAGAGCATATAAAAACTATTTCAAAAAGTTATGTATGCCTAAAAGCTTATTCTAGGATGTGTTCCAATTAAATCTTATAATTGATCAGGCCACATGATATATGTAATATGTACATTCTTTAGAAAGACTATCTGATTTTGAGGGTGAGCTGAAGATGAGGATGTGAATGCCCTATCTGTCTCTCTGACAGTGTGTACTGAGAGTGATTTTGAAGTTATTTTGGGATATGATCTTGGAGGCCCTTCTGGTCGCTTTTTATAGCTTTGAATAGAGCAGCTACTATTTTGTGTAATCAGGGAGTGGTGTTTGGGGGCTCTTGGACCCCAGCTTTGTCTTTTTTCCAGTCTCCCTCTTTATGACTTTCTAAAAATATGAACACCTGGGGCAAAACAAAAGGAGGATGGAGGTGAGGAGGAAAGGTCACAATTCAAGGAATTTTACCATCCAGTTCTTTTCACATTCCTTTACTACTACAGTTCATCCTTAATATCTTTACCTTTTTCTAAAAATGAAGACCAGCCTCTTTTGTTCTAGTTACATGTTGGAGGACTTCTCAAGGTGGGAGGCTTCATTATTGCCTCTTGAGACTTTTATTGCTCTCAAAATGTTTTACTTTGAACCTAAAGAACATTTTGCTGAAAGTCCTTTACAGCATTTCAGTTTCTCATTTGCCCTCGCCTTGTCACAATTAAAACTAAATCAGAAAAACTAGTCTCTATTTAAAGTCCTATAGGCATTACTTAAATGGCTATGGGTTTAACACATTTGGGGGAAGGATTTGATTTAGTGTCTGCATCTTATGACTGCTTCAGTATCTGACTGTGCCGACAGAGAAATCTTTTTTTAGAATATGCACTGTAGGCTGTAGAATGAAATGGTAAGGTGTGTACTTTTTCTTAAGTGAAGGCAGTGTAAATACAACATTCTCATTCATTGTTTTTCATACCTAGAAGCTTAGATATAGCAGTATTCTAAACGTTTTTAACTATACATGCCTATTCAGAATGTTGAAAATGTATTATTATGTAAAATTACACATACTATTGTCAGTTTGTATATTGAATATTAACATTTTTCTGGCTAAAAATAAATTATTTTTTTAAAATAAAGTATTTATAAATAGAAGTTAGATTGTTTCTTCCCATACCTGAATGGATCCTTTTGTTTTCTTCCTGTGATGTGCACATCCTGCTTTGAATAACACTGCTTTAATGGTAGAGATGAAATTCTGATAGTTTGTTCTTTGTAACATCAGATAGATTCATAATTCATCAAGTATTTATTGAATATCTGTGGCGCCAGACACTGTTCCAGATGCTGAGGATATAGCAGTAAATAAAACAGACTCAAATCTCTCCTTTTATGGGGCTTCCGTTCTGAACAAAATAAGTGAAACCTGTAGTATGTTAGTAGTGCCGTGGAGATAAAGTAGGGGAGCAAGGGATAGGGAGGGTGTGGGAGAGGGTAGAATGGGGTTTGCAGTTTCAATTATGGAGGCTTCACTGAGAAAACCCATTTGAATCATGATCTTAGGAGCTGAGAGAACCAGCCATATAGAAGTTTGGGAGAAGAAGGGCAAGTGCACAGCCCCTGGGGGATGAGTGTGCCTGGCAGGTTAAAGAACTACAAAGAAGCTAGTCTGGCTGAAACAAAGCATGGCTGAAGATGAATAAGAGGTAGGGGGAAGGAGAGGATCATGTAAAGCCTCTTTTTGGGGAGACATTCTACGGACTTTGACTTTTAAAAGGTCAGTGGAATACAGACCCAGGGGGACAGGGAAGCAAGGTCAGAAGAAGGGAGAACAAGTTGGGCTATTGTGGTGTGCCAAGTAAGAGCTGATGGTGGCTTGGGTCACAAGTGTAGCAGTGGAGTGGTGAGAAGCAGATGCAGTCCAATCATGGGTAGATTTGGAAGTTCAAGCCAACAAAATTTGCTAATCAGGTTTGATGTGTGGGATAAGGAGGAAAAGGTGGTGAATCAATTGGAAGGATGGATTTATGGTTAACTCACATGAGGAACGCTTGGGGGAGGAGTGGGTTGAGAGTGGGGAAGGTCCTGCTAAGTTTGGATGCTTATTAGACAGTCAAGAGGAGCTGTTGAGCAGGCAGTTGTGGACAGTGGAGAGATCTGTGCTAGATGTGAATTTGAGGAGGCTTCAGTATACACAGAGTGTATTTAGTATTTAAATTCATTGGACTAGATGAGATCACTATGGAAGTGTGTAGACAGAGAAAGAAGCCCCAGGACAGAGCCCTGGCACGCTTCAGTGTTGAGGACATAGGGAGGAACCAGCAAGGAGGCTGCTGCCAGACAAGTAGGAAGAGAGCCAGGAGAGTGTGGCTACAGGAAGCTGGATGAAGCCTTGCAAGGAGGAGTGCAGACCAGCTGGGTAAGATGTTCCGTTTAGATCAAATAAGATGAAGATGAAGCATTGGCCATTTGATTTAACTGTGTAGAAATCACTGATGACATCAACAAGCAGATTAGTGGCTAGAGCCTGATTGGAGAGTTGTGTTTAAGATAGGGGAGGAGAGAAATTGGAGACAAGGAAGTATAGATAACTTTCAAAGAGGAGCAAAGCAATGGGGCAGTAGCTGGTGGGGGAGAGTCAGGTCAAGGTTGTTTTCTTCTCTTATTGGGAGAAATTATAGCAATTTGTACAGTTCAGGGAAAGATCCACTAGAGGGGGGGCAGCTGATTATTCAGGAGATGAGAGAGACGCTAGAGCAATGTCCTTGAGTAGGTGAGGAGGAGATAACGTCTAGTGCTCAAAAGGAGAGGTTAGCTTTAGCCAAGAGTGACAGCCGTTTCGTTTATAGTGACAGAGAAAAGGCAGAGCACATGGGCGCACAGAGGCAGGAAGGTGTACAAATGCTACAGTGGGAACTTAAGGAAATTTCTGTTTTCTTGTGAAATAGAAAGCAGAGTCATCAGCCAAAAGTGAGGATGAGAATGGAGATGTTGGAGGTTTGAAGAGAGAGGAGGAAGAATTAGTTATTTAGTAGAGAGGGAGAAAGATGGAAGAGATAACTAATGATATGATTGTTGGGAGGCAATAAGAGTCACTTTGAAGTTCATCATCAATTTTAGAAACTAAACAGCATGGTTGTATATGTTTCTCTAGCCCTGTTTAGGTGCCTAGGCACCTGTCCTTCATTCCATTATATTTTTTAGAGGGGAGACTTTCAGTGGCTTTAAAAACTAATTTTACTTTTTAAACAGCTGGGATTTGTTAGAGTTTGAACAGAGCAAGTTGCCTTACTTGTGTAGTAATCCTAGTGCTTTCTTTTTCTTTTTTCTTTTCTTTTCTTTGAGTATAAAATCAGTTTCATTAACCTAATTTTGTTATCAACATATTGTAGACATTTGTCACTAGAATGTATATTATAGGTCATCAGCATTTGCTTGCAGCTCCATTCAGCTGATTGTGATTATTTTTAAATGGTCTTTTCTTTGAACTTTGCATTTGAAAACCTATTAAATAGGGCCGGCCCGTGGCTTAGCGGTTAAGTGCGCGCGCTCAGCTACTGGCAGCCCGGGTTCGGATCCCGGGCGCGCACCGACGCACTGCTTCTCCGGCCACGCTGAGGCCGTGTCCCACACACAGCAACTAGAAGGATGTGCAACTATGACATACAACTATCTACTGGGGCTTTGAGGGGGGTGGGAAGGGAGGAGGATTGGGAATAGATGTTAGCTCAGAGCCAGTCTTCCTCAGCAAAAAGAGGAGGATTAGCATGGCTGTTAGCTCAGGGCTGATCTTCCTCACACACACAAAAATAAATAAATAAAATAAATAAATAAAAATAAAACCTATTAAATAAAAACCTATTGGAGGATTGGAGAGGTTCTTTTACGTCCATTCCAAGAGATGAACTTTCTAATTTGTATTTTGGTGTTTAGCAAATGACATTTGTTTCACAAATGCATTATGTTTTTCTGTTGTAGGAAACCCAGCGTTTGCTGGCAGAACCAGTTCCCGGCATTAAGGCAGAACCAGATGAGAGCAACGCCCGTTATTTTCATGTGGTCATTGCTGGCCCCCAGGATTCCCCCTTTGAGGGAGGGACTTTTAAACTTGAACTATTCCTTCCAGAAGAGTACCCGATGGCAGCCCCTAAAGTACGTTTCATGACCAAAATTTATCATCCTAATGTAGACAAGTTGGGAAGAATATGTTTAGATATTTTGAAAGGTAAGTGTTATCTTAATCATTATATGCTATTAAGATTTCTGCTTTTTCTCTTAAGCATTCTATATTGAGAATCTGAACACTGTGATCTTGCCTTATATAATGACCACAGAGATCTGTGGGAGGGAAATGTTGCAGTTCTGGGGCTGTTTTTTCATGCTTGATGGTTCTGGGCCTGTTGCCTTCATAGATAAGTGGTCCCCAGCACTGCAGATCCGCACAGTTCTGCTATCGATCCAGGCTTTGTTAAGTGCTCCCAATCCAGATGATCCATTAGCAAATGATGTAGCGGAGCAGTGGAAGACCAACGAAGCCCAAGCCATAGAAACAGGTATTTAATATTTAATATTCATTCTCCTTTACAGCACTTCCACTTTAAAAACAAACTCGTATTACCTTTTAAAAAACTTCTGGGGTCTTAAGAAAAATAAAAAAATATTAAAAGGAATAAATCAGATCCTGCTTATAGTATATCAACACCTCTTAACAAAAGATGTTCAATCTCCATCTTATGGCCTGCTACGTGACCACCAAATTTAAAGGCAGCCTATAATTGGGTTATATTGTATAATATATCTTGTATATTGTATCTTGTATAATAATCTTGTATAACTGCACCTGATTTTACAAATACTGAGTGTGTCTGTCATTCATCTAGCAGTATCTAAAGATAATGGAGAACTGTGGAACTCCTTTGAGCTGTTTTTATAGTCTGTTTGATTAAATTAAACTATGTATCAGTTTATAGCTAGGGAGTTGGAAATCAATAAGCTTCTTCCTGCTACAGATTTTAACAAAATTAGGGAGCATTATGTATCTAGAAATGAAGGAGACAAATGGAGACAACTCTTTGTCCTGTTGAATTTTGTAGAACTTCTGAATTCCATTGTAGTGTTTTGGTAATTAGACACAGTGTAGACAGTCTTTCTGTCCTGATCCAGATTATAGAAAATGGCATTAAGAGATTACAGCATGATATTTCCATAATTAACTTAATAGTGTTTGTTTACTTTTTATAGAGTTTGGAAAGTAACATATTGAACTAAGTAAAATAATAATTGCATGTTTGTTTTTGTCTACAGCTAGAGCATGGACTAGGCTATATGCCATGAATAATATTTAAATCAATCTGATCATCAAGTGTGCATCACTTCTCCTGTTCTGCCAAGACTTCTTCCTTTTTTGTTTGCATTTAATGGACACAGTCTTAGAAACATTACAGAATAAAAGCCCAGACATCTTCAGTCCTTTGGTGATTAAATGCACATTAGCAAATCTATGTCTTGTCCTGATTCACTGTTGTAAAGCATGAGCAGAGGCTAGAAGTATCATCTGGATTGTTGCAAAACGTTTAAAAGCAGTGTCCCCCTCTCTGCTTTTATTCATTTTCCACATCATGGTTTAAGTATAAAGCACTGTGAATGAAGGTAGTCGTCAGGGTTAGCTGCAGGGGTGTGGGTGTTTTTCTTTATTTTATTATTTTTTTTTGAGGGGGGAAGTAGTTTTATTTTAATTTAATGGGCTTCTTTCCCCCTTTTTATGGTGATCTAATTGCATTGGTTAAAAGCAGCTAACCGGTTCTTTAGAATATGCTCTCTAGCCAAGTCTAACTTTATTTAGACGCTGTAGATGGACAAGCTTGATTGTTTGAACCAAAATGGGAACATTAAACAAACATCACAGCCCTCACTAATAACATTGTGACTTTGCTGTCAAGTGTAGAATTCTCCCTTCAAGAAAAAGCTTGTGACCATTTTGTATGGCTTGTCTGGAAACTTCTGTAAATCTTATGTTTTAGTAAAATATTTTTTTGTTATTCTACTTTGCCTTTGTACAGTTTATTTTACTGTGTTTATTTCATTTTCCCAATGTGACAATCGTATTTAAAAATTAATACTGATGGAACATTCTGTTTTGGTCTTCACCATCTGACAAATTGACTGGCAAGAGGTGGATTTTGCCAGTTTCTTTTCACTGATATGAAGATATCACTGAATGGAGTATTTATAAGCTGGCCCTGAGCATGCATAAAGCATTGGTATCTGACATTTTTTTACCTCCTAGAAATTTGAAATAAATGTGTTTGTGTTGTCTGATTAGTTAGACTATCATTGGTGTCTTGCCACAATGTTTGAAAATTACTGTACAGGAGAATCACAGCAAAGCAGCAGTTGTGACTGACTTTGTGTAGGACTTTCACATATTGTGCCACATTTGTGTCTGGCATTTGGGTGTTGACCTTTTCCTTAGTTCTTGTCTGAAAACTTCATGTGTGACCATGGTGTGCGTTATTAGGAAACACCAATCTGATAATCATTTGGGGTTTGCTGAGGCATTTATGAGTCTTCCTTATAGACCCGATGAGCAAATCTCGAGCAACCAGCTTGCATAAGTGTCATCAGAAAGGTTTTTTCCTTGGAGAGCATCAAATCCTTGGTTAATAATTTTTACTTTAATCCCTCTAGTATTTGCTATGGAAGCTCCTTTTATTCTTTAATTTGATATTCAGTAATTTCTTCTGCATTGACAGAGTTCCTCCCCCACAAAACTGTTCTTTCCCACCCCTCTCCATATCCACTTCCTGATTCTTGTTATTTTCAAGTCATCAATGTAGCCAGTCATAAGTATGTAAATGTTAACCTGCGGGTTGGAACCTTTGTCTCTTGCAGTTTAAGGTAATGGATATTGTAGTCCATCTGAATCTTCCCCACTCTTATCCTCGTAACTTCTGGAGTTTCTTCGGAATGTGGTGTATTTTATTGTGCTCCTATGTAAGATGAAGAGTTATCTATTAAAATTACATTTTCAACATACAAAAGTTTTTGATGACTGGTAACTGGTATCCTGATAGACAAATAAATGCATTGCATTGCTTAGAAACAAATGTTAGTTTAATTCAGAATAAAATTGCTCATAACCCTAATATTGTAAATTTTAAAACTATTGACAGCAGTTGTCATTTATAACAATTCTTGGGCTCTTTAGAGGGTATGTTGCAGCTAAGGAAACTGAATCTTATTCTGGGGCCAAAATGAATGAAGACTCAAGCAGTTAAGTAGAGATTGATTTTATTTATTGCAGGTAGCACTGCTCATGATGATAGCTGGTATCACATAGTGATTTATAAGTTATAAAATTCCAGATTTAAGTCTGTTGCACTACAAAAATCTGTATAAAATAGGACTCTTGATATCTACTGAGTCTGAGAGTTACAGAAGTACTGAAATGGAATAATTCACTGTTTTAATTTTGAATGTATGAATTCCTAATTTCATGGCATCATTTTTTTTCCTTTGTAGTTTTGATAAGAGTCCCCATTGTTTTGATGAGACTTGTTTTCTCAACCAACGAGATGAAACAAGAGCCAGTGTGTTGACTGAGCTTGCTTAGGAGTTAGGGTGCTCTGGGAGAGGCCAAGGTAGAGTTTGGAAACTGACAGCTCCATCTGGCTTTTGGGCCTGTTTTCCTTGGCCCACAGTGTGGTTGGTTAAACATTTTAAATTCAATACCAGTGTTTTTAAAAATTGAGAGATTCATGTGAAAATCCAGAATTCTGGTAACATGAATGATCTGAAGATGTGGCAACAGTGGACATGAGCCACCTTTGTGCATGGCACCTGTGGGAGGAGCTGAATAGCAGCCACCCTAACAAGAGCTTGTCATTCTCCTCTTATCCACTGACTCTCCAGGTGGCTAGAGTCCCCTCCCAGCCCCCCTGCTCCTTTGTGTAGTCCTGTTCCCTTGTAAGCCTTTGACTGTGTAACTCCTCAGCTTAAGGAAACAGTTAATTTAGTTGACAAATAAAAGTGTTGAATATGTGCCCAACACCCTACTACTTGTTGGGGATGATTAGGTGAATGAGATGGCTTTGGGCTTTCCCTTGTGGACCTTCTAATCTTCTGAGGGAGGGGGCATGGACAAACAGCAGTGGCAACTCTGTCATGGAGAAGGGAGGGGCTGCTCTTCTGGATTCAAGCCAGATGAGTACCTCCAGGCAGGGGGAACAGCATGTGCAAAGCATTGGGAGAGACGAAAAGAATCTGAATAGTTTGATAAGTGGCTTCTTGAAAGTCAACTCTGCCTGTCCAGGAGCTTTTCTGAAATCCTAAGGTGTTGATAGGAGCTTTATGGTTTTTATTTGATTTTTAAATTTTGTTGTAGTCTACTTTGCTGTAGTTTGCTTCCACATTAGTTATTCTTGGTCCTCTCAGAAGCTGCCTAATAAGATCTTAGATCCGAAGTATGTAGAACTTAAACTCTGCTCTAGACCAAGAACATACTTTTCATAGAAAATTTGAGCATTTTAAAATAAAATTAAATTCAAATCAATATATAAAAGCCACAGGTGCTATGGTTTAGCACTGTTATTTGGAGTGTGGGGAAGGAAATCTGGTATCCTACAGGATATTGTAAACACAATTTCAGCTAAATGAAACTAAATGGTGTCATGGGAATGCTAGGAATTGGCTTTATTTTTCTACTTGATGGTTCAGGAATCTTTTTTGCCTACTTTAGCCACATCAGTTTTTGTTAGTTGCAGTAGCAATGGTTTAAAAAATAGCCTTATCTAGAAAAGTTGGCCAAAAAAAAAAAAGATAAAATGCCATGATTATAGGGTAGCTAATTCATCAGTTTATTTAAGAAAAATGTAATATTTCATTGAAATAATGTATTTTGGGGCCGGGGCAACATTTCATTTAGCTATTTAGCATGCTGCTTAGTTTAAGGAATTATATCAGGGGTTTATTTTTTAAATGACTTAATGATCACAAAAGCAAAACATGCTGAATGTAATAACTTGAAAGAAATATAACGAATAAAAATCTGTAATCCACCACCCAGACTGGTGATACTTTGTCTGTTTCCTTAACTTATCCCCTGCGTTAATTTCCATTTTATCATTGAGGTTGAAAAGTGGGAGGATTTGTTCCTGGGGTTGGCTTTGTTACAAATTGGGCAAGTAAGTTGGACTAAAGTTTTTCCTGTTAAGTGTAAAACTCAGCATGAAGAGTTTGGGTCCTCCCTCTGTTCCCTGATCTCACCTTTGCCACCCTTCAGCTAATCTCATTTCATAAGTGCCCGTTGGTGTGGCATTTCAAGTGGATGAATGTAGACTTGCCTCCGAGCTCAGCCTCTACCAACTTGATGACCTTGTTTGAGTTTCTGGTTCATTGTAGAAGCATACAGTAATTGCCTGAATATTTAAGACCATGTTTATTGTCTGTTGTAGCAGAGCCACAACTGAAATCTCATTATCTTGTAAAAGTACATTTTATGGTGCTTATTAAGGAGCTTTAACATTTCTCCTCTGCTAATCATTTGTATCTGTGAGACAAAAAGTGTTTTAGAAATTAGAAAAGATTGATAACCTCATGTTCCTACCATGTACAGTAACTAGTGTATTTCCTTTTTACATACTCCTGATCCATTCTCACCCACCACATGACTCTTGAGTTCTATGTTCTAGACTAATAAATCCCAATAATTCTTAAGTTTCACTATAACCTAGCAAGTTTACAAAGTATTCTGGCTTAAGTTCAGGAATAGACTACTCAAGACAGACTTGTCAAGCAGCTTAGACATGATAGGGTGGTTGCACTAGTTTTGACCTTGGTGCTGTTTCCCTTAAGTTTTGGCAGGAAGCATTAGGACTGAGTAACCAAGGGAATAGGGCCAAATTTTTGCAATCTGTGTTTTTTCCTTCTAACAGTAAATATTTTGGACTTTGCGGGGCATGGGTCTATCTCAGTTACTCAACTCTGCCATGGTAATCAGAAAGCATCCATAGACAATTTTAAATGAATGGGCATACTGTGTTCTGACAAAACTTTAATTTTCACATGTCACAGAGTGCCTTTTTTCAACCACTAAAAATGTGAAAAACATCCTAAGCTTGTGGTCTGTACAGAAACAGGCTGGGGGCTAGGTTTGGCCTGTTGGGTGTCACCCCCCGCCCCCCCACCCCCGCCCCACAGTGATTGCTCACTTACTGCTCTAGTGATAGAACCAAATGTTGTGTCTCTCCTCCTTCCCCACTTCTAAAAAATAATAGATTACTGTTGTCCCAATAACAATTAGAGAATTGTGGTGCAGGTTCGCTTTTTCCCCTTTGATGTTAATATATGCATATTTTAATAAAAGTTATGTACAGATCGAGCATTTATCAAGCCCAGTTTTTTCATGTAAGAGATTATTGAACATTTTCACATTGAAAATTTCTCAATGTTCATTTTAAAATTAAAATTATACAGGTTTTTAAAGAAAATCTAAAATCTGTACAGGCTCTTTTAAAAAGTGATCTTTAACAGGTAATGCTGTGTAGTGTTCTGCTTTTTTCAGGCAGCGTTATTGAAAGGACCCCACCTGTGGCAGCACATCTCTTTGGTAGCCACAGAGTAGCTGTTGAATAGATGACCATAATTTAATTCCCCCATTTCTCCATTTAAATTGATGCCAGTTTTATAAACTCTACAATATGCATCTCTGACCATATTTTGATTGTGCAACTTGTCAAAGTATTTGTTGACTGGATTTCCCAGCAGTGGAATTCTTGGGTGAAAGGGTTATATGCATTGTTACGTTTTGGGGGGTACTACTCAGTTGCTCTCCACAAGGTTATGCCAGTTTACATGCACAGATCCTTACCTGAATGTAATTTTTCATGTCTGTATAATATTCCATTATATGGATATATTGCTAGTCAACCATTACTCCTTTAAGCCTGGCATTTTATTTCCATATCTCCCTTTTTCAGTTGCCTTATCTGAGTACATAAATCTTTGTCCACATTCCTGGAGATTAGTTGGATTCCTGGTCTAATTACTTGATCAAAAGGTATGTTTATTTTTAAGGTTCTTGATATACATTGATGGCCAAATATTTTTATTTCACTAAGTAATGAATTTGAGTAAAAATTGAGAAAGGCAGGAAGATTTATAATACTTGTATTAACGTCTGGCACTGGTGTTTAATAACCAGCAAATGTGATATCCAGAAGGCAGTATTCCACGTTGGGAAGAGCAACTTTTGGGATCATAATTAGTTGAAATCAATCATATCAAAGTAGAGCAATTTAAGACTAGTTTCTGGAAAAAGACATGGAGTCTGTGTAAATTTGGGTCTTTGCTATAATGATGGGCTTTTTCATCTTACTGCTAGAATTTAGCCAATGGCACTAGTTGGGAAGGTATTAAAAATAAGCAAGTAGCACCAGGAATGAGATCACTTTCAACCTGACTTGCTCTACAGCTCCATATAGAATGCCGCTCTAAGTATTTGGTGGGGGATATTTTTAAATAAAATTTTACTTTTACAGATGGTGCATGTTGGTCTGTAAAAAAAAATAGCTGTAGCACCTTGAAAGACATTGTAGGAACTTCTTATGTATAAAACACCCAGATAAGCCATTTATCTCTATTCCACTAGAACATAAGCTCCTTGAGGGTGGAAACTTGCTGTGCTGTAGCACTGATACTGGGCATAAAGCAGATGCCCTTCATTGTGCAGCTACCAGTACCGTTGTATTAAGAGTTTATGAAACAAAGTGTTGTTGGAAACTTGAGACAGAATTAACTATACAGCAACATTCCAGCTATAACCAATTCATTAAAAATTATACTTTAATAAACTCAACTAGTGTTTAGTCGTGTGTCATTGTCTACAAAAATCTGCTTAAAGAGAATTCTTGTATTGCAATGTGAAGAAAACACTGGAAAATGCCAAGCTCTTTTCCTCCCATTTAACAATCCTAATCAAAAACCAAATCAGATTTGAATAGAACTTTTACATGAGGATTCTAAAGTTGGTCTTGG